ACTGGCCGAATCTGGACTTGATCAGATTGTTTCGTTTCCCACCAGACTAGACAATACCCTAGATCTGTTCCTCACCAACAGACCATCATGTATTAACAAGTGCCTCCCAATCCCAGGCATTAGTGATCATGAGATCGTCTTCGTTGACACAGACATCAAGCCTAAACCCCAAAGACCTGTGAGAAGGAAAATATACCTTTGGAATAAGGCCGACATGCAACAGATCCGCTGTGAAGGAAATAAGATGAAAGATGAATTTGTAACCAAATTTGACGCTTCATCCCCTGTCAGCGAGATGTGGGACACCATAGAGTTAAAACTCTCCCAAATCTTGGACCTTGTTCCATCCAAATTCACATCTAGTCGTTTCAACCAGCCATGGATAACCCGCAAAATCAAGCAGCTCAGTAGGCAGAAACAACGTGCTTACAACAAGGCTTTCTCCCATCGCCGTCATCGCAATCACCGTCACTGGGCCAGGTACAACGTCCTGGAGAAACGTATGCAGAACACATGCAGAGAAGCATACAACAACTACATGTACATCAACAACATTGTGTGCCCAGATCTCAAGTCAAATCCCAAGCGTTTCTGGAACCATATCTCAAGCAAGCGCTGTGACAACAATGGTGTTGCCCCTCTTCGTGGCACCAAAGGAGCTACGTACACTGGAAGTAAGGATAAGGCAAATATTCTCAATGACCAGTTTTGTTCTGTCTTCAACAAAGATGAGGATCCATCCACCATGCCAGTCCTTGGCCCTAGTCCATTTCCTACTATGGATCACATACAGATAAATGTCAACAGCGTAATCAAATTGCTGAAGAAAATAAATCCTCATAAAGCCACTGGCCCAGATAATATTCCAGCTCGTCTACTGAAAGAACTTGCTAACAGCCTTGGACCTGTACTCTCCATCTTGTATCAAGCCTCGTTGGACAGTGGGGATCTCCCTGAAATATGGAAATCAGCCACCGTTGCACCTGTGTTCAAGAAAGGAGATAGGAATAAACCAGCCAACTACAGGCCCATCTCACTCACAGCCATCTGCTGCAAACTTCTAGAGCATATCATACACAGCTCCATCATGCAGCACTTCCAGGATTACAACATCCTGTCTGACAATCAACACGGTTTCCCTAAGGCCCGCTCATGTGAATCCCAGCTCATCATCACCATGGATGACATTGCCCACAACCTGGATGAAGGTCTTCAAACTGACCTCATACTATTGGACTTTTCGAAGGCATTTGATAAAGTTCCCCATCTTCGTCTCCTCCATAAGCTGAAGTACTACGGCATCGATGGCAGTGCACTTACCTGGATCAGCAACTTCCTTCAGGGTAAAGTCCAGAAAGTTGTCCTGGAGGGGGAGTCGTCAGCTCAATCCCCTGTGTCATCCGGCGTACCCCAGGGTACTGTCCTTGGCCCCCTTCTATTCTTGGCCTATATCAATGACCTCCCAGGCTGTATTTCTGAAGACTCCAGTGTTAGACTGTTTGCTGACGACAGTGCTATCTACCGTGTCATAAACAACATTGACGATGCCGACCAGCTCCAGCAGGACCTCTACACCATGCAGGAGTGGGAGAGGAAATGGCTCATGGAGTTCCATCCAGAGAAATGTCAAGTACTTCACATCACCAAACGTCGCAAACCGGTAAAGTTCACTTATTCCATCCACAACCACCCTCTGCAGGCAGTACCATCAGCTAAATACCAGTGGGTAGAACTCACTGACAACTTATCCTGGAACAGACATGTAGACACCACCTCCAAGAAGTGCTTGAGATCCCTTGGCTTCCTACGACGCAACTTGAGCAACTGCCCTCGTGAAGTAAAGACCCGCTGCTATACCACCCTTGTGCGGCCTATTGCTGAGTATGCCAGTTGCGTATTGGACCCTTCCACAAAAAGGAACATCACCAAAATTGAATCTGTCCAGCGTAGTGCTGCCCGGTACATCATGAATAACTACTCCAGAGACAGCAGTGTCAACACCATGCTGAGTAAACTGGGTTGGGATCGAGTCTCTACAACACCGAAGAGCCATCTCCAAAGTTACAATGATGTACCGGATCACCAACAAACTCATCGACATCCCAGACAACCACCTTATCCCGGTCAACTCATCTACCAGAGGCAACAGCCAGAAATTCCTCATCCCACCCACCCGTACAACCTTACTGAAGGGCTCCTTCTTCCCAGACACCATCCGCCTGTGGAACTCACTGCCCCAACAAGTTGTTGAGTCACCAACCCTGGATGTCTTCAAGACCAGAGTGAACGGTGTCACCTTCAGATAACTAACCTGTCCCAAAATAGCTGTTTTTTTACTGGCACATATTTGTCTTTTTATGCCTCGAGTTATGTCTGCACCTGCTTGTTTGCACTTCAACCAATGTGCGAGTATACTCCAGCGGAGGTTTCTGCACAGTATAGGAAGATGATGATGATGATTGGCAATAGTTCCTTAGTCATGTTGTTAGTGTGATTGCAGGTCAACTCGCCCCCTGGCCGACTCGCCTCTTACCGACTCGCCCCCTGACCGACTCGACCCCTGACCGACTTGACCCTTACAAGCTCGCCCCCTGGCTGACTCGCCTCCTAGCTGACTCGCCCCCTCGCCAACTCGCCTCCTAGCCGACTCGCCCCCTGACCGACTCGCCCCCTGACCGACTCGCCCCCTTAAAAATTATGCACCGTACGGGGACATCGTGAAATAAAAATAAAGACAGTGGAGCACATTGCCCGGTCGCAACGTGAAACTTAATGGAGCCAAATTACTCAAACGCAAGTTTTAAGGATTTCCGATACCAATGCAAAAAACTATTGATCCTTGTATTAAGAATTTGGGTTGGAAACACCTTAGCACAACCTTACCGATGTAGCGCAGCGTGATTTTTCGCGGAGTGCCCGTGGCATAGGGCCCGTTGGCCATGTGCGCGTAGTAGCGTTCACAGTGACTGCCGGCGGGCACGGCAGGTACCGGTGGGTGCCGGCGCGCGACAGCTACAGGTACCCGGTACGGTGGGTGCCGGCGCGCGGCAGGTATACCCCCGTTCACCGTTTGTCAATGACATAACGTTATAATTGTAAATCTCGACTCTGGGTCCTCAGTTTCATTAACAAATATTTTTCAGAATAAATGATGTATATTTGCAAATCAAAAAAATGTTTTTCATATTTTTGGTTTAATGGTGTTCTTATCAAACATACCGAACGGTTTTGAAAAAGTTATAAAAGAGGCTCAGAAATGGAACTTTCAGAACCAAATTTTGAATTGGGCAATAAAAGAGGCTAAGAAATGGAACTTTCAGAACCAAATTTTGATTTGGGCAATAAACTCAGATAACGAAGCTGATTTGCTGGACCATCTGTCTTTCCCTCCACTGTCTTTATTTTTTTTTTTACGATGTCCCTGTACGGTGCATCATTTTCCAGGGGGCGAGTCGGTCAGGGGGCGAGTCGGTCAGGGGGCGAGTCGGTCAGGGGGCGAGTCAGCTAGGAGGCGAGTTGGCAAGGGGGCGAGTCAGCTAGGGGGCGAGTCGGCCAGGGGGCGAGCTTGTAAGGGGCGACTCGGTCAAGGGGCGAGTCGGTCAGGGGACGAGTCGGTAAGGGGCGAGTCGGGCAGGGGGCAAGTTGACCTGACACCGTTAGTGTTACTGTTACTTGTGTTAGCCCTAGCCCAGGTTGGACGAAGTCTTCATTGCATTACGACTAACGTCCAGGATGAGAATTCTCTACATAAGACCACTCACAATTTGGACCAGATTTTGTTACGTTTTTCCTCGTTACAGAAGCTTATTTCACGCCTACATTCTCTGTGTGTCCTTAGTCCGAGTAACTTGGACCCAACTTATCGCCTTTTTTAACATTTGGACATGGTCTGGCGATAGTAGGGTCCAAGCTAATACCGCGAGCTGGACAACACCGTCCCATTTTCCAACAAAAAACATCAGATTTCACCTTCAAAACGACCTCCAAATTACTAGATATGCCACCTGAGATACAAGTAGACATCGATAATTAAGAAGGTTGTACTAAAGTTTACTTACGATCCGGAAAAAAAGTGAAATTTTCCGTTCATTTCGGAGAGCTCCCCTCGGGATCTTGAACACGTTAAATTTTCGATCGTGTTTAATGTTTGAACGACGCGATTTCTTCTACATGCCCAGCGTACTTTCGATGGTCCCTGTATCCCGAGTGCGATTCCGTTACCGAGCACGCGCGATGCATCGATTATAATAATGAGTCACGTTTGTAAACACATACATGTGCATTTCGAACTGTAAAAGGGAATCGGGAACCAGCTTGAACTGGTATCCGCCATAAAAGCTGCGCTAGTTCCCGACTCCTTATTATCGTTTGAAATGCACATGTGTTTACAAACGTGATCCATTCTACTCATTGTCATAATCGATGCATCGCGCGCGCTCAGTAACGGAATCGCACTTTTTTAACATTCGGACATGGTCTGGCGATAGTAAGGTCCAAGCTAATACCGCGAGCTGGACAACACCGTCCCAAAAACCAACATTTTCCAACAAAAATCATCAGATTTCACCCTCAAAACGGCCTCCAAATTACTAGATATGCTAGATATGATTATGAAAAAAAATGGGGTCAGGTTGCAACATTTTTTCAGCTATTATCACCATGCATGTCACTTCAACCTAGAGTGACGTAGGCCCATCCGGTCTTTCAGCATTACTTTTGCTATTTATTTTATACGTCTTCTTTTTTCTCTCAGCTGGCGGCTAGCTTCACTATTGCTGTGCTGTACGTTCAGCGCAGCATTACAATACCGAGGCCACACTAGTGGGGCTAGCTGGCGGCCAATCACCATCACTTAGCTTGAGTAACTCCAGCTCCAATGCTCTAATGCAACAGGCTAAAGTTATGAATATTTTTGTAAGTACAGTGGCGATAAATTACGTAATGTTATTGTTATGATGTCATGAATATTTGAATTTCTTTTTTTTTTGGTCACTCTATAGTATTAGGCTGTGGTGCTTGAAGGCAAGTATTGGAAGCGAACTCTCAGCACAGTCATCTGAGAATACCAGAAGAGGAGGATCTTCTGTCAAAAAAAATTGCAGATGATGGAACCCTCTACTTCACTCAATGGCCTACCAGAGGTAATCCAGTTCTCTAGATCAGTGGTGGGAGAAATCAAAGATTTCAAAATCTGGTATCCTAATTTTCTTCAAACTGAATAATGGTTTTTCGATTTCACCGGATGTTAATTCCAATTCAGCTCACAGTCATGCACAACAAAAAGTGATGAGTGAGATGCCGCATGTGAAATAACCTCCCAATGATTGGGAATAGTTGCAGGATTCAATGACCACTGGACCTTTCTTTACAAAAACCCCACATCTGTAATGGTGAAAAAATGGGTAGGAACTCTCAGATAATCAAATAGACAGCTTATTCATATACCAAGAGGACTGTTAGAGAGTGAATGCAGTTACAATCAGAGACCATGGAGCAAATTGGGGGATGTTCCAGTTGTATTCTTTAGCGTGTCTCATAATAAGTGGAAGGCTTAATTTTATTTAGGATTCATTTCAGATATCCGGTTTCTAAAATCAAACTGAATAGTGGAATTCAAACCGAATGTAAAAAAATCCGGATTTAAATCCCACCACTGCTCTACATTGTTTACAAAATGTGCCCCCTTTATAGAATTTTAGGTTTCTGAAACGAAGTATCAATATAGTTTGGACAAAGTGAACCAAGATTTCTTTTTTGGAACCCATTAAGCCTGAGTCGCCACGGCATCAGCAGGAGTCCTTACAGCTGCAGCTTCAACAGCAGCAGCAGGATACATTGCCGTTTGGAGTGCAGCCAACTGACCAACTCCAAGCATCGGTGGCAGGAGTGGAACAATCAACTACCGCTCAGGAGGAATCGCAAAGTAACAATCGAACCACAAACCCGTTGACATGGAAACAACAGCAAGGGTGGCTGGATCAAAGTCAACCATCAGATGTCCCCTTAAAACCCTTAACATCTATGTCTGATGTAAGTCTTTATCTTTGTGGCAATGGGGATGTGTTTTGAAAGGGGAAGTAGAGCAAGGGTTGAAAAGGTCATTGTGAATTGAAACAAGTACCAAGTGGTATAACACACTGTCAACAGCCAATGTGGCCCATCTATGCCGGAATTTATCTCTAGTTTCAGTAGCATGAAATGACTGAGAATATTTCTACTCACCCTGGATGGGATGCCAGTCCATCGCAGGTCACTCTATCCCAAGCTAATGCTGGTACCCATTTGTACTTTTGGGTGGAGAGAGGCAAGTGGGGGTGAAGTGGCTTGCCCAAGGACAACATATGACCAGCAGCTGGATTTGTATCCCTGACCCTTTGATCATGAGTCATGAACCTTTAACCACTAGGCCACCCTCCCAAAAATTGGGGAAAAAAAACATTGTTAAATGTCTACTACGTCTGGTTCAAAGTTTGTTCGGGAATGTGGTTATGTTGGGAAGGGTTTCAGGTGACGGTTATTTCATTTTGCAACTCTGTTATATTTGCTTTGTTTTTTAGGCCCAGCCGGCGGAGATAGCGCCTGCTCCTCTGGCTCCGTCCAGCTCCAGCAACACTGGCGGGCTCCCTGGTAATGCTGCGCTGCAGACACAAGGTAGTTATTCCCTAAACCGACACTATTCTTGGAGTAGAAAGGCAGAATCATGCTCACCCAACTCAATTCAACGAGGTGCAACACAGGTGCACAAATCTGTGGTACTTGTTGCATTGAGCATTCAACAGTTGTGCGATTGCCAGTTATGCTGATCCCATTGAAAAATGTCAAAGTTGGATTCTGTATGTTGCTGACAGCCGAAGACTCTTCATCAGACTCTGAAAGTGTTTGGTCTGGGGTAGTTGACCAAAGAGATTATGTTTATACACCCAGCAGGCATGACACTCTCACAACTGTTGAGGTGTCTAGCCATATTTAACATTATTTACAATAGAACAATTTACATTACAAAAGAAAGTCTTGTCAGCAAACATCCTGTGTTATATGCACTACGCAGTACATCATGCGAAAAAGTTCATGTCGCCAAACTGCTCTCTTTTTGCTCTAGTCTAAAACAAGATTGAACTTGACATTTGAAAAACTTTTGACTCGGTCAAGTGGTACTTTGAATTACCAGGGTGTCCCAAAAAACAACCAGTCAAAGCCCCCTCTTTGTCACAGCTTAAAAAAAAAATACATCACAAATATAGATACATATTAAGAGAGTATACTTCATTACCTTTTCAACAATGAAGAAATATTTTCATTTAGGTAAATATATGTTGAGTTATGGCCAATTCAAAACTGCTTTTTCCATGGCGACTGACATTTTATTGCTGCAATAAGAACATGGGCCGAAGCTTGCATTCGTGAAAGAGTGTACCAAGTAGAGGCAGAGCAGCACAGTAAGAAGTTAACCAAACAGTCCTATTCAGGACTACCATGTCTTCCAAAAAGAGATATTAGGCCAAACAAAAAATAGTCGGTCTCTGGTCAGACCGAAGTTCTGGAATTGATGCTGCGACGCGGCTTTTTTTTTTTTTTTTTTTTTTTGTGGCTTTTTTTTTTTCAAGCTTGAACAAGTAGGGTACTATTTTGCTTTTTTGTGTCCTCATTATACATTGGTGTCCTCCATAATTTGTCTTGGTGCCCTTTATCATTTGTCTTGGTGCATTTTTTTTCCCCATTCCTTGGTGCTCCTTGGTACAGAAATTTGAGAAGGTGCGGCAATAGAGGGCGATGTTGTACCGCTGTCGATTTACGCACATGATAATTATGTACCATGGCAACTGTCTGTTTATGTTCCCATTGGTCTGTTAAATTGGCATTTTGTGAGGCAGTCGCATTTGGAAAACGTAGTGAAAAGGTTACTGTAGTACACAGGCGAAGGCTGATTGTACAGTTTTGACAATAAATCATAATGCAATAAAACGTGAAGGTGTCATTTGCAATGAAAATGTTGAGTGTCACCATAAAATTACAAACGGTCTGAATCATGGAGGAAGGTCATAATTAAGTTTCAGTGTTGGACTCTTCAACAAACGTAAACTTGAACTTCTTACAATTTGCGAGACCGTCTGCAAGGAAAAAGTCGATTCAACTTTTATTCAAGTTGGTTCAACCATCTAGTATATATAAGAGCAAGTTTTACTCGGCCTCCGAGAAATGTTTGCTCCTGAAAGGATCCGAGGCCGTGGCTTCACGTCCGTGGAAAAATGTGGAGGGTGTCTTCCGCCGGGTCGGACACTTTTTCGTCTATTTTTTTTGTGACTGCGTTTAAGATCGCGATATTTGAAGCAATGCATCGATCCTTCGTTGATCCCAAACAGGCCCCCAAATTATAACGCGACACTGAATTATACGTGGCGGGCAGCGAACTCACAACGATCAGCCTTGGTGGATGCATGTAGCTATAAACACATGATGGAAGCAACAGAGCGCAGGGGCGGCAAGCGAAGCATATGAAAGAATAGGGACACTTGGTGGCCACGCACCATGGACAAAAAATATTTTGCCAAGGTCACCCCATGCTACTGTTTGGTGAACACTTTTGCAGAACAGCCGAGTAGAACACGTAAACGCAACCCCTACGTCGAAGCCGCTGACCTCGCACAGTCTAGACACGCAGAAAAAGCCATCACAGGGGACGGCCAGGCAGTCAAAGTTAAAGATTAATAGATCTTTGAAAATTAATATAAAATCAACCGTGAGAGACCTGAACTTGACGTTTGCAGGGATCAATAGAATAATCCAGGGTCTTAATTTTTATATATTATGTGCAAAATCATGTGACCCTTCCTTCTGGTTGAAACCGGAATTGCCTTGTAATTTAAAATTGGTGAAAGATGTGCTATGGCTAAGTTGTATAGTTATAGATGGAAATTGATGTGACGTCATCATGCCGTCATTACGTCACATGTGACGTCATAATTCAAAGCCCTATGGGAATGTAATCACATATTATATGCCACCAGTTATTATCAACAGAACTACACATTCTTCGTGGATGGAACTTGTACTTCAAACTTTACATGTCACATGTCACAAAAAATACCGAAACAGCCCTGTGTTTGTCCACAAACATAAGTCTAGTTCAATTTGCCCTTTGCCTAGACTTGGCGCAAGTCTGGGTTTTGATTGGTCTGTTCCTGTACCGGTACTATGCAGTCCTTGTAGCACATACACGTCAAATACTCATTAAAAAAATTGTGCACATTGTTTGTGTTTTTTTTTCATGGAACTTACTGTTCCCAAAATATAATAATAGAAACTGCATCGATTATTTTTTTTTTGAACTTTTATTTTTGTTATTGTTTTTGTACAGATTCCTCTGTCCTGGCGCCTGAATCCTCAACTGGAGCCTTGGCATCTTTGCCTGGAGTAAGTATTTTTTTTTCTTTTTTTCTTTTTATGTTTCCAGTACTTTAATTTGGGCTGATTTTTGTGTCGCCCTAACAAAGTTTCGGGAGACACTTATCAATAATGACCGTTCGCTGACTCAGCGGAGCTCGCGAACTAAATTTAGTCCTTAGTTACTGGCCAGCTGTGAGCCCTCCAGTCTCATTTGCATGGTATAACAATGGCCATTGTTATTCTAATTTGATATGACGGCTGAGTCAGCAGAGTTTGGTTCGCTGAGTAAGCGTACCTGCCGTTGCTCTGGTATCTCCATGCTTCATTGGTCACGGTATATAATTATAGCCTACAACATTTTAAGTTACGGTGGTTGAAGAGCAAGGCGTAACGTTCCCCACGGCCTTCTCGAACGTATTTCGTTCATTTGATTCCATTTTGATCTTATTCAAAATGTCATCAGCTTTTTTTTTTTTTTTTTTTTTGACCCTATTTTCTTTCGGCATTAGAATTTACATTGCCGAAAGTTAGTTTCTACATTGAATTGTCTCGACTTTGCAACATTTCGATTTGATCACCAAATTTCGTTGAGCGGTATTGGTCACTTTTTCATCATGTAATTATTATTTAGATATAATTCCATGCACGTAGAAAGTAAAACACTTGATGCTACGAAAGAAAAATTACCAGATGTCTAGAAAACGTGGAACTGCGGAATATATTCTAATGGTCATAAAAATATTTAGCTTTCCGTGGAATGCCAAGTTAACTTCCAAAATCACGTCTCGTGATTGTGTGAAACAAGAAGGTGTGTTAAGGATCGCGCTAGTATATATAGAGTGGACAGTTATTGCCCAGCGAATTCACTTTTCAACACCATTAGGACGACATAAAGACATTCTGTAGGAAATCAAATAAATGTCTGACCCATTTGACTGAGTGGTTTATTATACATGTGCATTATGTAGGCTAAAACAAATATTCCTTCATTTTAGGGGCCTTTTTGTTTTGTTTGTAGACGATTTTCTGTGAAGTGAAATCGTATAGTATTTTTTCTGTAAAAAAAAATCAATCTGAAATTGTTGTGAATCATTATTCCTTCCAATTAAATTGTAGAATGTTGCATATTGTTGTATTACGATCGTAGTAATATTGGAAATATCGATAGACCATACGGTGTTTTTACTATCTATGAGCCTAGCAGATATGCACATATATATTGTTCAGAAATAATGAATATGTACGACAGCCAACACATGCGTCACGATTGTCTTGGTGATACTGTTACTGTGGAAATGCCTTGCCCAATCCACGCGAACTAATTCAACCCACATGATATTTTGGGCGGTCTTCCAGACTGTTATCATTAGCTTCATTGGTGGATGAATCTCGCCGTCAAATTGACCTACCTGTCTGTTTTGCGACAGGAACGAGTTCCCACGCTCATTTCTGGCGATGAGCCAAACCGGCTATAGAATTGGCGCACCCGGCTGAAGGCTCGTTGATAGAGTTGCAAGCGGTTGTTTGCTGTACACAACTTTGGTTGTCTGCGCTTCAGATGGTTGACCATAATGGTGCATTTTGACACTGCATGCTAGCAATGACTTCAACGTAACGTTGTTGTTGTCGGCGGTGTCCATAGTTGTGTGCATTCTGTTTAAAATATTTCTTCTTTTTTTTCGCAAGGAGCACTGACTTTTATTCTGCTAAATTCCGTTGGATTGTTTCATTGTTCCGGGTAATTTTGCAATGGGAGGGGGGTTGGCATTTTTCTCATGTTTTGTTTAATTTGCTTAATAATTTTTTTTGCTAATTCTTATCTGGTTTTTATTTTATTAAGGTGATTTGATGTCTTCTTACTTTCAAAGAAACTTCTTAATTTTTAATCTGGATATCCACAATAATTGAGTATTTGGATTGTTTCTTTTTTATTTTGGTGGGGGGATCTTTTACCTTCTTTTCAGCTGACCATTTTTTTGGTTTATTTTCATCTTGGTTTATCTCATCCTGGTAGTTTTATGTTAATTGTGGGGATAATCCTAACCTTCTGTTATGTTTAACAGGGACATTTATAACTTTTTATCGTTTATACCTCTGACAGTTTAAATATATTTTTTTTGTGGAATTGGAAAGGGGACCGAGAGTAAGACGCAGACTTGAGCGAAATGGTGACTTATACACGCCGACTAATACAGAATACAATTTTCAAAATGAAAATGCACTGCGATTTGGATTGGGACGAGTACTTCCGTCAGATGGTCGACTTGAGCGATTTGGGATGTTGACTTACCCGGAGTTTACTATACAGTAATGAGCAGGGCCTAACAAAAGAAGTAACAAATGAATGTTCTTCATTGCACTTTCTGTATAGGTGTTGAGGTTGAAAATGCTGCTTTCCGAGGCATTATTTATGCTAGGTTGAGCTTTGTCAAGCCATGGAGGAAGAAACACACACGCCTTTGACCATGGACCGGACCGAGTTCATTGAACTCAGCGTCCTTGCATGTTCGTTCTTGCATACATGACCGGTTCCACTGAAGTGGCATGTAGATTTATACAAGGCCGGCAAATCCATTCATCCTATAGCGTACACATGACTAGGCTTGGCCAAGTCTGGGTTGCGCTCGGTCTGTATTTAAATGTGCGCATAGCGCACATGTACTGTACACGCCGTACCATAACGTGCCCTCATGCATCAAATCCAGACCAACATGTTAAAAACGTACATGTACATGTTATTTTCAAGTGATGCAGCAACCCAGACTTGGTCAATCTGCCAAGCGTACGCGCTGGTTTGTTCCACGTTTGTACACAGTCTATGGAAATTAATTTTAGCTGTGGTTGGCTTCTACCGATTTGGGTAGAAGCCAATCAGAGCACAGTATTTCAGGTAATTGGCGTTTTATTCTTAAAAACGCCCACAGGTTGTTTTGCTATTATTCCTAACACGCAATCAGCGTTGTCTGCGTATTCGCGCAGCCAAAGTTTCGCAGCGAACGCACATGCATCCAATGGTGAGAAGTAGAAAAAGATATATGCAAAGGTATGTTCGAATGCTTTGAAACGGCTCTGGGTACGCACAACACGTAGCGCTATCAATGGATCTCAACATCTTTTACAGGTTAACCATAATAAAAATTCCCTTTTGTTTTGAATAACATTTGAATATCTTGTTCTTTATATAAATTCCATCCAAGAGCAGATGATCGTAGTACATGTATAATCATCCAAATATCATGTGTTTGAAATCTACAAATTAAGAGTATGTTTTTAAAATTTTGCAGATTGTTATCCAGCCTTCCATTACCTACTGAAAATAATAAACGAGTCTTCAAAAACTGGTTACATTGATTGGTCAAGCGAC